GGCTGGAGAGATGGTTCAGCAGTTAAGAGCATTGGCTACTCTTGCAGAGGACCTGGGTTCAGTTTCCAGCACCTACATGGCAGTTCACAACTATCTATAATTCCAATTTCTGGGGAATCCAACGCCCTCTTCTGGCCTCTGCAAGCATTGCCTAACTTGGTTGCACTTACATATGCACAGGCCAAACATTTATACACATACAACAAAAATAAATAAATAAATATTCAGTGTGATCTGGGAACCTGGTAGAGACACTACAGTTTCCTGTATGCTGAGGCCTCAAGATATAGCACCTGAGGCTGGCCCACTTACCTTCCTCATGCAGGCCTCTCCCGCCTCCTGCAGCTCGCTGTTTGTAGAATTGAGGGCCTTAAAGAGTGCAGCAATTATTTTCTCCCTGGACTGAGGAAGGTAATTGCAGGCAGCAAGAGCATCTTGCAAGAGAAAAATGAGTGAAATTTTCTTATTCACCTGAGAAATACCTCTCTCATAGGACACTACTGATCACAAACCACTAGCCTTCTTTCCCAGCATCTGCCTTAAGAAAGACCAAAGCATGTACAGCCATCCATCCCTGGATGCAGTACTATATGGCACTGAAGTCTGCAGCCTGTCTGGAGGACCCATGATAAATCTGTCACCTCCACAATATCCTCATGGGATAAGTGAGGATAGCCAAAATGAGAGGCATGACTTAGGGACCAGCAGGAACAGATGATGCACCCAACACAGCCTGATTGACTCCAGGTCCCAAGTCCAACTAAGCAGTCTCTTCAAACACTAAAATATTAAGGGCTGGAGAGAACAGCTCAGTGGTTAAGAGCCACCACTGCTCTTGTAGAGGAGCCATCCCAGCACCCACATCTGGCAGTTTATACTGCCTTTAACTCCAGCTCTAGGGGGAATCTGAGCCTCTGACCTCCTCACACGTGCATGCACTCAGACACATCACTAAAAATAATAAATAAATAAATTTAAAAAGCCAGGCGTGGTGGCGCAAGCCTTTAATCCCAGCACTCAGGAGACAGAGGCAGGAGGATCTCTGTGAGTTCAAGGCCAGCTTGGTCTACATAGTGAGTTCCAGGACAGCTGGGGCTACGGGGAGACCCTGTCTCAAAAAGGCCAAAAAAAAAAAAAAAGCAAATATTCTTAGAAAAGGCAGACACACCATAACCCTGTATGTCAGAAGACATTTTAGCAAGGTCATAATCCCTAGCAGATATGGTGGCACACTTCTTTAATCCCAGCACTCAGGAGGCAGAGGAAGGTGGATCTCTGTGAGTTCCAGGACAGCCTGGTCTACACAGTGAGTTCTAAGCCAACTGTGGATACAGGGAAACCCTGTCTCCAAAGAACAAAAATTAGTTACCACCCTACCTGCTAAAGAAATGAGGTACATGGACAGCATGTAAAGCAGGATCCTGACTCAGCACAAGCGAGGAGCTGCCAAGTGGTTCCCAGCCAAGTGGACCCTGCTTGGTCTGACTTGCCTGGGTATCACAACAGCCTCTTGGACCTTCCATCTAACCGAAGACGGATCCTGGCAACAGTTTATTGAGTGTGTAAAAATTAACAATGTAGGGCTGGGCATGGTGGCCCATGCCTTTAATCTCAGCACTTGGGAGGCAGAGGCAGGTGGATCTCTGTGAGTTCAATGCCAGCCTGGTCTACATAATGAGTTCCAGGACTGCTGGGGCTACTGGAAGACCCTGTCTCAAAAAGACCAAAAAAAAAAAAATTAACAATATGACACAGAATTAACTTTAAAGAGTTTATCTTGGGCTGGGCATGGTGGCGCATGCCTTTAATCCCAGCACTTGGGAGGCAGAGG